GGGGCGGGCTCTCTCGCCCCGAGACTCGGGCCAGGCCTGGTTCCCTGGAGTCTGGTCCGCTTGGAAGTCGGTGCTCAGACTCCCGAGGATGCCGTCCACCCTGGGCGAGCCACGCTGACCACCGCGCCAAGAGTGTACTCTGACCATCCCGGTGCGGTTCGCTGTGGCCCGCGGGGAGACCCCGTGGGCGAGCCACCCAGCTTTGTGGCTCCAGTCGGGGTGGCGGGGCAGAGCTGGGGTCGGAGGCAGGTGACCTGAAAAGCCCAGGCCAGGTGCGGAGTAAAATTCCCACCTGCTGCTGTGCTCTCAAAGCCCCCAGATGCCACGTTTTTCCTGGAAACACTTCGCTCGGAGGTTACCGATTTCTGTTTGGATCCTTCCGGGGACTTTCTGCGCTCACCCGCCCCACTGAAAGCTTTCTTCTAGACCTAATGAGATGGGCGCCTGGAGTGTGAGTCCAGCAGCAGGAGGCCACGTTGGTCCAGGTCTAAGCTTACTGTGTCCAGGGGGTGCTGACGGCTTAGAAAAGAAGTCACGCGCATAAGGCTCCACTTGATACTCCATCTCAGGACGCAAGCTTCTTCTGAGGTCGTACCCAGTGGTCCTCGTGGGGAGGGGTTGGGGTGTCAGGTCAAAATTCCAGAGAGTCTCCCTTCCTCAAACCGTAACTGCCAAGCCCTCCCCACCCCACCCCACCCCCACAACTCTGCTGTTCAACATGCTCTGTTTCAGGAGGTTTTTATCCTGTTTTTTGCTTTTTCCTTTAGGGAGGTGTCTCCAGGGGTCTCCCAGACAAAGCGCCAAGACCCCTCAGGAGCCGTCGCAGCAATCAACCATTTCAGGCCCATAAAGACAACAGTTGTTCGTGGGGGGACAGTGGGACGGGGTAGTTGAAAGTGGTGGGTTTTTGCATTGGACAAATCCACTCACTGGAATTCCTGCTCACGGCAATAGCACAGGACAGAGCAGACCTACTCCATAGGATTTTCAGGACAGGGTTTCTTTAAGAAGCAGTCAACAGGGCTCAAGTAGAAGGCAAATGTTTTGAGAATGATGAGGGCAGCAAATGTACAAATGTGCTTGACACAATGGATGGATGGATGGATGGATCGTGATAGGAGTTGCACGAGCCCCCAATAAAACGATTAAAAAAAAAAAGGCAGACAACATCATCTTTCCCCGGCACAGGGCACAGTGAGTCTCAACTGCTGACGGCAATGAGCAGTCCAATGCTTAGCCCCCTGCACCACTAGGGCTCCTGGAGTCGGGCAAAATCCGAAAAACCCACTCTCACTCCCATGGAGTCGAGTGACCCTGTGAGGACAGGAGAGGACTTCCTCTGGGTTTCCAAGTCTGTGACTCCTTTGGGGAGTAGAAAGCCTGTCTTTCTCCCAGAGCGCTGTTGGTGGTTTCGAACCGCCTCCTTTTCAGGTCACGGCCCAACACCTAACTGCCGCACGGCCAGGCCTCCTCGGAGTTGGACAGAGCTGTTGCTGACTGGTTCTGTGCCTCAGAGATGCAGTTTCTTCACTCTGAGCTCCAGTGTTCTTGAAAATGGGAATGATCTCTTAAGTGGCAAGATAACATTTTTCTGTTGGAATGGTTGCTAGAATGACAGGCGTGTGTTTTGCCCTAAATAGCCTACAAAGAAAGTAGAGTCCTTGGTACCTCGTGGTAGCTATTGTGGGGAGAGAGGCTAGCGACAGGAGCAGATGAGGTGCATCGGCTCAAAGGGGTACAGTGAGAGATCGAATGAGGTCAGATGGATAGGGTATTAATTATCTCTTTGTGACAGCCAGAACTTCCACTGGCTAATCTGAAAGCCGCGAGGGGTGGCATCAGTAGGGGAAAACCAGGAACAAGACAAAACTTGTAACTTGGAAGACTTATGAACATTTTGATTTGACTATTTGTGCTGATGGATGAAAAAGATGGTCATTGTGTCTTTCAGGGTGGATTTCTATTTCCATACATAATTATCTACTTTATTTCCCTATTAGACTGTAAACGCCTGAGGATATCCATTAATATCCCCATTTTACAGTAAATAGAAAAAGAAGTTAGCAGAGGATATAGGTTCAATCCCCTAGCTTTGTGAGTTCAGCCAAACTAGCCTGAATTTGCATTTCCCTGAAAGCTTTCAGGTTGAACATCTTTGCATATGCTTATCTTACTTAGATGTTTTCTTTTGTGTGAAGTTCAAGTGTTTTGCTTATCTTTGCGTTGGGTTACTGTTTCTTATTAATCTGTAAAAATATGTATACATAGACAAGAGCGATTTTGGATTCAAGTTCTTTGTTGAAATATATCTAGAAGCAAATGATCTCTGTGGTCTGCCTTTTCGTTCTCTTAATTAAAAAAAAGGTTGCTCAATGAAACATACAACTTTCCTCTAGTTCTTAAATGCTTCCTACCCCCCACTAGCATGACCCCAATTCCACCTTACACATCCGGCTACACCGGAGGGTGTACACTGGTACAGATAGGAACTGGAAACAG